TGGGTGGGTGGGTGGGTGGGGGGAGCAATCAAGGGACACTGGCCTGCATCGCCGTCTGGCGTCTCAGGGCCCTGCAGTGACAGCAGCATTGTGTCCGAGGCAGCCTGCAGTTGGCGGGAAGAGTCAGAGGCAGAAAGGACCTCCTCAGACTGCTAAGAAAGAGCCTCTTTCCTTGAAGAGGCTAGCGGTCTGATGTTTAAAGGCTTGTTTGGGGTCTGGAGGCTGGAGGGGGAGATGTGGAAAGGATGTGCCATCGTTCTCAGGAACTGGGAATCGTCCTCTCTCTCAGCTGCCTGCTTCTCGAGGAGCAGCTGGTCACAAGTTGTCCACAAGCCTTAGAAGGAGATCTCACCCTAAGGTTTGGGAAGGTCCTCCTCGTCAAGGTCTTTAGTTGCTAGATGACCAGTTTCCCTGCCCACCCACAGCCAGCGCCAGTGACTTGAGCCAGGCAAAATTAGAAGCCAGGGTTTCCACTGTTCTTATTGCATCTGTAATTAATTCCTTGAACCATCTTCAGCAAGGAGGAAGAAATCACCAGGGGTGGGGCATTCACTAGCAGGTAATTAGAATAAACAAATAAACAAACAAACAGCAAGGATGCTTTTCTGAGAAGACGTGGCTTGGAGTCAGTGCAGACATGAGGTCCCAAGCCAAGGTCTGGTCCAACTGTGTTCCTCACGCCTATTTTAGGTTGTTGAGTCTAACAGCAAGAATGGACCAGATGATAAGTGACCTGGGCACCACTGGGTGGAGGGCAGAGCAGAGGATGAAGATATAAAACTGATCTGCAGGCACAGGGACAGTGTAGTAAAGCTAAATACGCACAGACCTCTCTCTGGATAGCAACAAAGTGCAATTCTCCCCCTGAAACATTCACAGACCTGGAATTCATTAACAAGTCATATGGCACTTTTCATGTGTTAATAAGGACTGTAATCCTGAATGCTAAAAGAAGAGCAGAGACACAAGGCCGCCATCCACACCTTGCCCCAAATTGGCCTGGGCGGGCTCCTCTCCTTCCAAATCTGCCTCACCTAACACTCCCCAAGAACCGGTTCCAAACGTGCTTTCCTTTTTCTTATGAGCCTCCATCAGGCGGAGCCCCATTGCTCTGAACTGCAAGCAGGGCCAGCGATCTGGCAGTCAGCCGAACACTGCGAAGAACGTCTGGATCTCCTGAAGCCTCGGCTGTTTCCTGACCGCTGCTTCCCCATCGATCCCACCCTGCTTCCCCAGGAGGCAGCGCTGGCCAGATTACCTGAGGCACCAATGCCCCTAGTTCAGGCTGTCCTGAGCGCATTGAAAGGCAATGTGGAACCCAGCAGATGCCTGTGTTTATTTGCTCATGCAATGCAGTTCACAGGGACTCTTCCAAGGGTTAAAATGCGACTAGTCTTGTCAACACACAGCCCTGCACCAGAGCCACCAAACTGGCTGGGTGAGATTCCTACAGACAAAGGCCAGAATCACCTGCTCACAAACCCAGATATGCTCAGAGAGTGTCAAGAACCCAGAAAATGCAAACAAGGAGCTTCAAGAGCCAGTCCGCCTGGCCTTGAATTTTAGAGGGCTGTGCCTCAGAATAATTCCTTGCGAGGTTGTGCGATGAGTAGGAATGCCATATGAGCCACGGACTCACCCATCTCAAGGAGGCTGGGGAAATGCACACCCATCCCCTTCCGCATCCATTTCTTCTGGTGGTCCACCAGAGGTGGAGACGTGTCCAGCCACAGAGCAGGAGACCTGGCTGAATCCTGAGAAACCAAAACTTGGCACGGGGAAGCCCAAGGGGTGAAGACCCCAGCCAAAGCCTGGCTCAGCTGCAACAAACACAAGGAGCAAGTGTGGCAAGCCCTGCCGCCCGTCAACCGGAAAGAGATGGGGCGATGGCCCGAGTTCAAGGCCACAGCCTCAGGCCCACGGAGCTTGGACGGGGCTTCCTACCAGACAGACATCCAACTGGGTCGTAAAGCAACTTCAGCGAGTGACAGGTCATGGCCTCTCCAGGGTGCCTCGTTTCAAACTTCAGATGCTAGCAAAGTTGGGGGGAAAAAATCCAAGCATTTTGCTGGTTTCAGGGGGTACCTCCTGCATTGTTAAATCCTGCTGTTTTTTAACTGCTTCCATATTTACCCACTGAGGCTCTTTTCTGCAGTGCTATTATTTCCTTTGGCATAATATAGGAGGACGTGGTTCCTATGCCTTCCACTGGAAAAACCAGTTGTGAGTATTTAAATAAAATAGGAACGTAGCAACACTGCACAGGGCAGGACTCGGGGGGGGGAGCGGGGAGGAAGCGCTGGCGGCCACCCAGAGGAAGCCCACATCCTCTTGCTCCCCTTCGGTCTCCGGCAGAAAAGAGGCCCAGGGAACCCGGGAGGGCTGACGTGGCATTAGGAAGGGATCCCGTGGATTCTAGAGATCAGCCAGATGGGGAGGACCATCTTCCTCCCGTCCTGCTTCTTGCGCCTCTTGGCAGGCCAGGAGCACAGCGGCAGCGGGTCCAGCATCTCCTGATCTGCCACGCAGCAAACCCACCTCGGTGGCATTATTGCCTGTGGCTCCATATTGTTAATGGCCTGCCCACCACTAAGCCAAGACACCTAATTGTTACTTGCGGTAGCCACCAAGTTTAAAAACCACCTTTTAGTTTCCTCCCTGAAAAATATCACTCAGACGTGCCCGAGGTTGTCCAGCTACTCCTTCCTTGTGAAGAAATTCCTAAACATATTATTGATTTGGTTTCTATTCCAGCTTTCTACTCAAGTGAGCATTCACAAACAGACTTAGCGCTGGAGGGAGCATGATCTGGTTTTGTTAACTGGACCAAAGAATGTGATCGTCCAAGCATCTGATACCCAAACAAATATACTGTGACCTGTGGAAAACAACAGTGCAGCTCGAGGGGAAGGGTCCGGGTGAATGATGGCGGCAGGGCTTCAAATTAACATCAGTAAAGGTAGATAAATTTGAGTTTTGAGGATTTAAAAAAAATAAAAAGATAATGTTTAATTTAAATAATAAATTTAAATAATAATTTTTAAAGATTATTGATACTGTCCCAGTTTGGAAGAACCTACAACACAACAGACTGGGGGGCCTGGTTCCTGTTGGATCAGATGGCCAGGGCTTTTCCTGCTGCCCCAGTTGAACCTTCCTTGAGGGGGGAAGACTTCACCAGGGCGGTTCACGCCCTCCTCACCACTCATTTAGATGAGGCTGCCCTTAAAGAGCACCCAGAAGCTTCAGTTGGTACAAAACGTGGAGGCCCCATGCTCAGGGGTGATGGCCAGGGGGTGCCCGTTGCGCCTGTTTGCTGGGCCCTGCGTTGACTTCCGGGGGCAATTTAAAGGGCTGGTCTTAACCGATGAAGCACTTTATGGCCAGGCACTGGGTGACTTTAGGACTGCACCTCTCCACTGGAGTCAGCCCCACCACCTCTTCAGTCTTGCTAGAGGTCCCCGACGGCAGGAGGTTGGGGAGCCGAAACCCGGAGACGACGTTTTTCCATAACGGGGCCAACGCTCTGGAATGGCCCCCCACGGGAAGTTTGGTTGGCTTCACCATTTCCCCCATTCTGGAAACAGCTGAAAATGGAGCTTTTCCAGACAGCGTTTGGGGACTGATGCCAGGGATTCCTTTGGGGGTCTGTAGACTGTATCTTTTATCATTCATGATTATGTTATTGTCCTCACGTTTACTCTGATGTAGAACCTACTCATCACACTAGGACTTCCTTTCAAGTCAATCTGTTTAAGAGCGTCTGAAATAGTTTGGGCCCTGACAGCCAGCCAGCCTGGAATTCCTAGGAAGAAGAATTCTTTGACGAAAGCAACCACCAGCAAAAAACGTCCACAAGGACGCCATCAACAGCCATTAATCCATTTGAAAAGATCCTGAGAAAGAACAGAAGCGACTAAGAGGTGAGAAGACCATGATCCAGCTCCGTATTCTCTGTGCCAACTGCCTTCCCTGGACCCCACTGAGGTGCCAGACCATAACTCCCATCACCCCTAGCATGATGCCCCCATTCCATACCTTGGCAAGATGCTAGGTTGGAGAAGGCTTGAGAAGAGCAAGTCGCACTTTGTGAATGAGACTCAAGCAAACCACGTACCAAGGAAAAGGGCCTCCCATTGGCAAAAGCGGCGGGTCAAACTGAGCCTCACCAAGGGGCACACCTCCAAGGTCGGGAAAGACAGGAAGAGCCATCGTCACGCAAGAAGAGAAAGTTGGTCTCAGAAAGCCCTCCAGGGCTAAAAATACCTTGGCCCCTGAAGGCATGTATCTGGGGAGCAACATATTCCCACCCCGTCTGGGTACCAGCAGAGGCCCAGCAGCAAGCGTGGCCGGTCATTCCGGGCTGAAGCCTGGGACAGAGGCAGACTGACCCAGGAGATCCAGTCCAGTAGGAAGTTCTCCCTCCACAAGCCTGATGGGGGAATCTAACCATGGCATCTGCACAGGATCAATTCCCAGGGAATCACGTCTTATCGTGAATTGCTTTTAAAACACCCATTTGTATGGGAACGGGTATGGGCATAAATTCGATGATGGTGATGGTGATGGTGATGATGATATCATCATCTGGTGAATGGAGGACACGCTTTGGGCATAAGAATTTCTTGGCCCGGTTCTGCTGGTGACTGATTTTTACACTCCCTTTCTTTGGGGTAAGCAACTCCACTGGGCTCTTAATCTATTTTTGGAGGCCATCTGTGTGCTATTAACTAACACTTTGCTGCATGTTAGGAGACCGCTCGAGTGAGGAAAAATGCATGCCAAACGAAGCACTTTCCTCTCCTCAGCGCAGCTCCAGGCCACCAGCTCAAACAACTGGCAGGGAGAGTCACATCACTGGATGTGATCCCTTTCAGGGGATCGCACATTCATTCATTCATTCATTCATTCAACTTGTCCCCGCCCATCTCCCCACAATGGGGGACTCTGGGCGGCTTACAACACACTAAAAACATAAATACAATTAA